TTGTGGCATTCGAAGTGTCTGTTTTATTAAACAACAGCAAACACACTGGGCAGGAGGCTGGGGAGGTGGAACGGGGCCCACAACCCCTGCGAGCACACAGGACCCTGCAGGGACAGGCAGGACAGAAAGCTCCAACCTCAAACTTTGAAGATGCCTTTAACCTACTGAGCATTCAAAAAGTCATTTCTGTCTTGCCTGACACAGCAGCAGGGATTGTCCCTGGGAATGCCAAAGTTGAACATTGCTTATCTGTCAGGCAGTGTGTGCATGGCTTTGTGTGGACCTGCACGTGTTTTGCAACATCTATTGGTTGGGCAATAGGTTCCTTTCACTGGACGACCTTCAGGAGAACATGAGCTTACCTCGTGGTCTTCCCCATCACCTTCTTCCTTGTCACTTTGTCTCCTCAGGCTGCAAGAACATGAAGCACGGGCAGATGCTGAAGGACCTGATGCAGACACCCAACTTCCGTGTGTCGGTGGTGCAGGAAGCTGACACTGTAGAGATCTGTGGGGCTCTCAAGGTGGGCGTGCAGGGCTTGGTGAGCAGAGCCTGGGGCTCTGCAGGGAGAAGGGATGATGGACACTGGCACAGACAGCACTTGGGTCACACAGGCTGCTCATGGATGCAGCTCTGAGCTCCGTTGGGAAGAGATCCCTCCACGCTGCCGTTGTTTTCCAGAACGTGGTGGCCGTTGGAGCTGGTTTCTGTGATGGCCTCGGCTACGGTGACAACACAAAGGCTGCTGTGATCCGCCTGGGCCTCATGGAGATGATTGGCTTTGCCAAACTCTTCTGTAAGGGCCCTGTCACCCCCGCCACCTTCCTGGAGAGCTGCGGCGTTGCCGACCTCATCACCACCTGCTATGGGGGCCGCAACCGCAAGGTCGCCGAGGCTTTTGCCAAGACTGGGAAGGTGAGCAGAGCTGGAAGCAGAGCTGGAAGCAGAGCTGGAAGCAGCTGACACTGAGACTGTGGATGAAGCTGTGTCAGGGAAGGTTTAGGTTGCATATCAAGCAAAGGTTCTTCATCCAGAGGGTGGTCGGGCACTGAGACTCCCCAAGGCTGCCAGAGCTCAAGGGGTGTTTGCACAACGCTCTCAGGCACAGGGTGGGATTGCCAGGAGTTTGACTGGATGATCCTTGTGGGTGCCTTCCAGGATATTGTATGATTCTATGATCCCTACATCAACCTGGTGAGCAGGGAGGGAGGTGATCCCAGTTAGCACTGTTGGGTCTGTCTGTGCTTGGCTAGAGCTGCAGCCCAGCTCCAGGGCAGGAATGTGGTGCAGCAGCAGGGTTGCAGGTCCAGCTCCTCACTGCTGGGTTGTTTCAGTCCATCGAGCAGCTGGAGAAGGAGATGCTGAATGGGCAGAAGCTGCAGGGTCCCCAGACATCTGCTGAGCTGCATCGAATCCTCAAGAGCAAGAATGTGGTGGAGAAGTGAGTGCTGGAATCTCTGTGCTTCGTTGGGGTGGGGTTGGGACCTTTTCAGGAGCAGCAGGAGGGGAAGGCCCCCTTTTCTGCACTGCCCAGTCACAGTAGCTGGGCAGGAGGTGCCTGTTGGGTTGGGCACAGTGCCATTGGCCCACCTGCTCCTGCATGCCATGACAGAAGTCGAGGTGCTCTGACTCTGCCATCTGTGGTGACTTTTTTTTTTTCTGCCCACAGGTTCCCCCTCTTCACTGCTGTGTATCGCATCTGCTACGAGGGAAAACCTGTCACTGACTTCATCACATGTCTCCAGAACCACCCTGAGCACAATTAAGGGGTTCTGCCTGCAGAGCACAGGCCCTGCTGAGATGTGCTGAAAGCTCCTGCCCACACCAATCTGATCTGCTGCCACAGCCTTGGAAGGAGTCTGGGTCTCCTGGGAGCCTCTGCAGACTGCTGGAAGAGCAGAGGTTCCCTTCCCCAGCCCCAGCCCCTGCCCTGGACACTGAGCCTGGCACAGAGGTACCTGCTGGCCTCTTTCTCTCTTTGAAGGGTTCGTTTAATTGCTGCTGCTGTCTAAGGTCTGCCCTGAGCAGGGCTGAGCATCTTCCTCCTTCTATTTCCTCACAATGAATTCAGCTCTGGGAAGGACTCTGCCAGGCCATCATGATAGATAAGGGCTGGGCACTGCCTGGGAGGGAAAAGAGTGTCCCAAGTCCTCCCTTTTAGCCCCATGGGGCCACTCTGGGTGACACCAGCTCTTCCCTACCTGCTGCTGCTTTTGCATTCCCTGTATGGTGGAGAGAGCACAGTCCCCTGCCAGGCTCCATCTGGTGAGAGGAGCTCTCAGGACTTCCAAAGGCACTGAGGATCTTTCTAAGCAGCAACAGCACAGACAATGGCATTCCTTGCCACCCAGGCATGTGCTGCTTTCCCCCAGCTGGTCCTGCTGACCCAGGGATACTCTGGAGCTTGTTTATTTAGAGCTTTTGCTCTCTCTGTCAGACCTGGCCCCAGCCCTGGGGAGCTCCTCTGTTGTCACAGGTTTGCCTGTGCTAATTCCATGCCTGCTGACTTCTCTCCCTGTCTCAGTTTGTCCTCTGGGGCTTGGCACTGCAGGGACCAACAGCCCTGAGTCTGCTGGTGTGACCCCTGCCTTGTACCTGCACAGCAGGCAGGTGGGTCACCACAAGGCTCCTGAGTCATGTTGCTGTTAAGTAAATGCTCCACAGCCACACTTTACCTTCCTCTGGCTCGCTTCAGCCTGTGCTTTAGACCACTCTGTGCTTCCATGTGTGGCTTTCCAGGAGCTGAGGAAGGAGGTCTCACACTTTCCCTCATGTGGGGATGCTTCAAGCTGCCCAATGGCACAGGGGCAGGAATGGGCATATGATCCACAACAGGTACATGGAGATGTCCATCATCACAGGACAGCAGTCTTGGGCTTTACTGAGCCTTTGAAATTTGCCCCTTGTGTGGCCAGGTGCCACGTGTCCCTCTGCTCCTCTGCAGCTGGTGGTGTTTGCTCAGGCCAGTGTGTCCAGTGCTCACTGATCCTACCTGGGCTGGAAGGCTGGAATGCTGCAGGGCTCCCTGTTCTCCCCCCGTTCAAGTCCCAGAGCCAAGAAGTCTCTGACCAGCAGTGTACCTTTAAATTAACAATAAACGTGAAGAGGAGATGGGAGATGCTCTCTTTGTTCTGCAGCTCCAGTGCGTTGCTGCCACTGGGTTGGTGCCTGCTGGACTTGCTGAGTGCTCAGAGCAGGGCACTGCCCGTTCCCTCCTGGCTCTGCACCCTCCTGTGCTGTCCCAGAAACAACAAGAATGTCCCTGTAGGTCCCTGTTTAGCCACAACGTCACACAGTGTCCCACTTGCTTTGTCTCAGCAACAGTTCCACGATTAAAATTTGGCCGCAGGACTACGGTGGGTTGGGATTGCAACATTGAGCCGGGTCCAGAGTCCTCACCTGGGGCCTGCAGGAGGCAGGCCAGGACCCCACTGTGCCCCACACACCCCAGGCCTCCCCTCCTCTGATGTTTGGGCTTCCCAGGACACGCTGTGGGATTTTATTCATCTCTTCCCAGCTGCTTTTCCCAGACTCATCTTGTCCCTGTGTGTCTTTAAAGGAGCCCCGTACTGAGTGACCTTTCCAGGGCTCTCAACCCTCTGCTCGGTGTCTTACAAGGGGAATTTAATCTGCTGGCACTGAACTTGTTTCTGTGCCTTTTATTAGCCACGTTTTCTCAGCAGGCACTCCGCGACCTTTAAATTCAGCAGAACTGTGGTGTGGGGGGAGCCAACACGGCTTCCTCTGCTGAGGAGCTTTATTGAGCTTGGAGGGAGGATAAAGGAAGTCCAGCGTGTTCCTGCAGGGCTGGCACGACTTGTAGCTCTCTTTGTCTTCAAGGGCTTCAGGAATCCAAGTGTTTGGATTCCCTCTGCTCCCTCGCACAAACTCCTGTCAGCACCTGCTTGGAGCTGCAGCAGAATCCAGCAGGGATTTGTGTTTAGCAGGGAGATCCCCTGCGATGGAAATGCTTTGTGCATCCCCCTTGTCCGTGTTTCTCTGACCCTGGAAGTGCCCAAGTCCCTTGCTGAGGGTCCCAGGTCTGATGTGGGAAGAACAGCACAGTGATCTCTCACTTTTAAACACACCACACTGGAGCTGGATTTCCTGAGCTATAAAAAGTTTTCCCTTTGCCATTTGGAATTATGTTCTGCAAGCTCAGCACATCCCAGTGCCACAACCCTGGGAGCTGCTGCTGGGGGAAAGAAGGGATGAGGAGGGGAGAAAGAGTGACCCTGGCAGCTTCAGAGCTTGAGGGAGCCCCGGATCGAGCAGGGCTGGGCCAGCAGAGTTCAAAGGCTGGGAAGGAGCTCCGGGAGGGGGGAACAGGAGGGGACTTGGGGAAGGAGGCTCTGGGCTGAGGGCACACTGGGACACGGGGCAGACACCACGACCCTTGGGATGGCACTGGGAACATCAAGAAAATACTGGGATCTTCGGGGAGGCACTGGGACCCTCAGGGTGGCACCAGAGCCCTTGTGAAGCCACCGTGACCATCGCGATGGCGCCGCACCTGAGCCTTAGGGTGCAGCAAGGCCCGGAGAGCCTCGTCTCCATCCACGTGCGGCCAAGGACTGTCCCTTGCGGGGTCCAAGTTCCCTCTATCACCTCAGATATGAAGGCCTGCGGGTTGCGTGGCGTAGGGAGGCCCGTGTGGGCTCCGCCGGGCCGATGGGGGCCGAGGCGGCGGCGATGGCGGCGGGAGCGGCCCCTGAGGGGGACACCGCGCCCGGGGCGCCGCCAGGGGGCGCTGCGGGTACCGCGCGGGCTTCCCGCGCCCGCCGCCGTCACGTGACAACAACACACGTGACGGCGCGAATCACGTGACAGCCTCCCCGAGCCACGTGACGCGGGCCCGGAGCGCGGCGGAGCGGAACGGGAGCGGTGAGAGCGGACGGGAACGGGATAATGGACGGGAATGGGAAAATGGATGGGAATGGGATGGGATAATGGATGGGACGGGAACGGGATAATGGACGGGAATGGGATGGGATAATGGACGGGAATGGGATGGGATAATGGATGGGAAGGGAGCGGTGAGAGCGGAGAGACGGGACGGGAATGGGATAGGATAATGGATGGGAACGGGATAATGGACGGGAATGGGATGGGATAATGGACGGGAATGGGATGGGATAATGGATGGGAAGGGAGCGGTGAGAGCGGAGAGACGGGACAGGAATGGGATAGGATAATGGGTGGGATAATGGACGGGATGGGAGCGGTGAGTTCAGGTGAGTCCAGAGGGACGGGAGCAGTGAATCTGGAGGTAGTCAGTGAGTTCACCAGGGACCGCTGCTGGGACAAGTCTCATTTTCACCGTGTTCACCTGGATGAAAGGATGGAATGGACCCCGAGCGGGTCTGGTGGTGATACAAAACGTGGGGCAGTGGCTGATCCACCCCAAGGCTGTGCTGCAGTTCAGCAGAGCCTCCATCAGCTGGAGAATTGGGCAAAGAGAAACATAATGATTTATTAGAATAACCTGATGAGGCTCAATGAGAGCAGGTGTAGGATCCTGCACCTGCAGAGGAATAACCCCAAGTACCATTGGGATCCTGGGATGCATCAGCAGGTCAGGGAGGGGATCCTGCCCCTTGGCCTGAAGAGAGGCGCATCCAGAGTCATCTGTCCAGTTCTGGGCTCCTCACGACAGGATAGTCAAAGAGATGCTGGAGATGGTCCAGTGCAGGCCACAAAGATTTTGAGGGATCTGGAGCATCTCTTTGAGGAGAGACTGTGGGAGCTGGGCCTGCTTAGTCTGGAGAGAAGACTGAGCAGGGATCTTATTAATACATATAAATATCTCCAAGGGGTCAGGGGATGGTGCCAGACTCTTTTGATGATGCCAGAAACAGGACGAGGAGCCATAGTCATAAACTAAACTACCAGAAGTTTCACCTCAACATGAGGAAGAACTTTCCATGGAGGGGGGCAGAGCACTGGAACAGAGTCATGGGAGTCTCCCCTTCTGGAAACACCCCAAGCCCACCTGGACTTGTTCCAGTGTCACCAGCTCTGGGTGACCCTGCCTGGACATGGGAGGTTGGACTGGATGATCTCCAGAGATCCCTTCCAACCCTGACTAGGCTGGCATTTTGTGTCTCCCTCGCAGGTGCAGCCATGGTGTCCAGGAAGCAGCTGGCAGATTTTGGCTACAAGGCCTTCTCGGGCTCCATGATGCTGCTGACGGTGTACGCCGGCTACCTGTGCAGTGTCCGTGTGCAGAGGATGCTCCAGCACCGCCGTGAGAGGGAGAATGCACCTGGTCCTGAGAGCTGAGCCTGGGCTGGGACTGGTCCTGGGAGCTGGGACTGGGCCCAGGAGGTGAGACCAGCCCTGAGAGCTGAGCCC